AGCATTCGCTGGCTGGGGAATTCTGGGAGTTGAAGTCCGGACATCTTCAAGTTCCCAAGGTTGAGAAACACTGCTCTAGACTAGCCAAACTCAAAACCTGCAGCTGCTCTTCATATCTTTTAATCTCCAGGCCTTTCATCATCCTGGTTGCTTTCCCCCCCCCCCCTGCACTTTTTCCAAAGCCTCAACATCTTTTTTTTTGTGATGTGGTGACCAAAACTAGATGCTGTGTTCCAGGTATGGTCTTAAGAAGGAGGGAAATGATCTAACCCTAGACTATTTAAATTAAAATAATTTAATCCTGAAAAGATTAAAGACCATCTTAAAGGGGCAGGAGATGAAGAAATTGGTCCATGTGAAGAGAGCACCATAGAACCGTGTTTTATTACTGGTGGAAGAAAACAACGTTCATGCAACATAAAAGCATGGAATGTAGAATCATGTAGAATAGAAGGGGCTTCAGAGGTCTTCTAGTCTAACCCCCTCCTGCTCAAGGCAGGAGAGCTTGTCCTACCTCAGACAAATGGTTGCCCAGTCTCTTCTTGAAAACTTCCAGTGATAGAACTCCAGGAGGTCAGCTGTTCCATAGATTAATTGTTCCCATTGTTCCCAAATGTCTCCTTAATTCCAAACTGGGTCTCTCTCTAACTCATTGCCCCTCGGGGGTTTTGGGTCCCCACTTTCCAGTCCCCACTTTTCTGTGATAGCCTCTCAACTACCGGAAGACAGTTATCATTTCACCCCTAATTCTTCTATTTTACAAACAAGACCACATGATGTGATAGTACTTCATTGTAATGCCTTGGTAAGGCCACCCTTGGAATACTGCATCCAGTTTTGATTGCCATGATTCAAAAAAACATACTGAGATCCTAGAAAGAGTGCAGAGAAGAGCAACAGATAATTAGGGGGCTGGAGGCTAAACCACACTATGAATAATTAAGGGAACTGGGAATGTCTAATTGAACAAAGAAAAGACTTAAGGGGAGACGTGATAGCAGTCTTCCAATATTTGAGGGGCTGCCACAAAGAAGAGGGAGGGGGCTAATCTCTTTTCCAAGGCATCTGAAGGCAGGACAAGAAGCAATGGATGGAAACTAATCAAGGAGAGAAGCAACCTAGAACTAAGGAGAAAATCCCCAACAGTGGGAACAATTAATCAGTGGAACGACTTGCCTCCAGAAATTGTAAATGCTCCAACACTGGAAGTTTTTAAGATGAGTTTGGACAGCCTTTTTGTCTGAAATGATAAGGTNGCTTAGAGAGGGCTGAAAGCCCTATGAAGCGGTATATAAGTCTAACTGCTATTGCTATTGTGCCAGCTGAAGGTGGCACACTCTGATGGGCATAGCCTGGGCTTTTTGCAAAGGAGAAACTCTGAAGATCTCTTTCAAGTCAAACTTCCACTCATTTGGACTCCTTAATGCTCCCTGAACTTGGCTGGAGTTTTTTTTTGCAGACATTTTATTACCCAAACTTGTAACATCATCAATGCTAGTAAGGAATGATGATGATCAGAGGTGGGTTGTTCCCAGATTGGGCAAACTGGTAGTGGTGGCGGCAGGAGGCTCCACCCACCCGCCCAGATATTTCTGTGAACACACAGAAGCTTCTGCACACTTGCGCAAACCAGTAGCAAAATCCCCATTCCCTCCTGCTCAACTGGGACTCAGGAGGCAGAGAATAGATGGGGGCGTGGCCAACCAGAGGTGGTATTTACTGGTTCTCTGAACTACTCGAAATTTCTGCTACCGGTTCTCCAGAACTGGCCAGAACCTGCTGAATACCCACCTCCGATCAGAAGGTATAAAGTAATCAAGCAAACACCAGACTTTCCCCACGGAGCTTACCTTGATTTGCGGGTCAGGTCATCGACACAATCGGGAAGCTCCTTGCCGAGTGTTTCGGGAAGAAGGAGAGTAAAGACCCCGCCAACGACAGCTGCACTTCCGAAGACACCCACGGGCAGAGAGGTGCTATATTTCTCCAGGAGGTCCACCAGTGGGGAGATGATTCCAGCTACTCTGGCCGTCATCTGACATACTCCGAGTCCAGTCTGCCTGGGGTGGAAGCAAAAGAGAGGAGGGATGAAACCAAGGAAAGTGGAAGTGGTTTCGTCCAACGGGATGGACGTTGTTTTGCTGGGTTTCCCGGAGACTTTGATTTTGGGCCAAGTCCCTCTCTCCCAGACCAGCCCACCTCACAGGGTCGTTGTTGTACAGAAACCAAGAGGAGGAGGAGGGTGTGTTGAATGTTTTCTCTACCTTGAGTTATTTGTAAAACTAATAAAGGCAGGATATAAAGGAATACAGGTGGTCCTTCAGCTACAACAGTTCATTTAGTGAATATTTGAAGTTATAGCGTCATTGAAAAAAGTGACTTATGACCTTTTTCCCCACACCGCCATTGTAACATCCCAGTGGTCATGTGATCCGCATTCAGACTCCTGGTAATCGCCTCCTATTTATGACGGCTGCAGTGTCCCGGGCTCACGCGACCCCCTTTTGCAACTTTATGACCAGCAAAATCGATGGAAAAGTCAGATTCACTTAACAACGGTGTTACTAATTTGACACCTGCGGTGATTCGCTTAACAACTGTGGCCGCAAAGTTCGTAAAAGGGGGCAGAAGGGACTTAACAAATGTCTCACTTAACAACTTTGGGCTCAATTGTGGTCATAAGTCGAGACCGCCTGTAAAAACAGCCAGTGGGAAAACTTTCACAGCAGTGCAATGATTTGCAGTTTTGACAGGTAGGTAAAATCCCCCTACTTTCTATTCCTACTTCCCTCAAACTTTGAGTAGCTGGTAACTCAAACAGTAGCTGACAATCCCAATTGGGAGGAAGGGTCTGTGCCAGGAATCACAAAGAGGGTTTGCCACCACTCTTCAGATTAATTTGGACTAATGCTGATTTTAAAAAAAACCCAGTAGGAAAAGCCAAATGATTTGTCTGTCCAAAGAACCCTGCAGGATCAGGCCCAGAGAGTGGGGAAGGGAGGGGGAGGGAGATGCCTGTATGTCAATCAGCAGGTCAAGAAACACACAATTCAGGGATCACAGAAGAACTACTATTATTGTGGTAGGACAGGGGTCTCCAACCTTGGCAACTTTAAGCTCGGAGGATTTCAACTCCCGGAATTCCCCAGCCAGCAAGGTAGGAGAATTCTGGCAGAAATGTGGAAAGCCTGTTCCAATTTTTCCCCCTGTGCCTCTTGGAGCTGAAATAATTGGGGTTGTTGTTGTGCTACTTGGAAGATCAGATAGGAAACGCAGCTCTACAAAGGTTTCATTAAAAAGTATCTTGCGAGTCCGAAAAACAAACAAACTTCTGCTTTTTAATCTGCCTATTTCCTTTCGCTGCCCCTTTGTTTCCCAGGGTTATTCTTCTTGCATACCATTTACACTTTCTCATGCTTTCAGCTTTCCCAGACCCAAATAATTATTTCACCTCTCCCCCCCTAATCTAGGCCAGAGATAATTCTTTCGGCTCTTGAGCAGCCTACGCTGATCAGTAGCATCTGGGCAGTTTGGCCAAATTATACCCTCCGTGTCAAGGTCAGTGAATCACATCATCTTGAGCAAAGTTGGCTTTTCAATTTTAACCAGAATGGAGCTTTGAAGGGACCTTGGAGGTCTTCTAGTTCAAACCCCCCCTGCTCAAGCAGGAGACCCTACACCTTATACTTCAGATAAGTGGCTGTCCAATCTCTTTTTTAACACACACACACCCAGTGACCCACAACTCCTGAAGGCAAGATCTTCCACTGGTTACCTGTTCTCACTGTTAGAAAGTTTCTCCTTAATCCTAGGTTGTTTCTCTCCTTGATTAATTCCCATCCGTTCTTTCTTATCCTGCCTTCAGGCGCTTTGGAGAATAAATTGCCCCACTCTTCTTTGGGGCAGCCCCTCAAATGCTGGAATACTGCTACCATGTCCCCCTCCCCAGTTGTTTTTTACTCTAGAGCAGTGTTTCTCAACCTTGGGAATTTGAAGATATCCGGACTTCAACTCCCAGAATTCCCCAGCCAG